GTTGGCTATTGCTACAAATATACCCCAGCGACTTAAGACTGCTTTTGTGCTCCAGGGTCACATATTTTGAATTATTGTGCAGTTTATCAGTATATTAAGTCTGAACTGTTTTATCATGTGAAATACATTCTCCTCGTGTGTGTGTGTGTGTGTGTGTGTGTGTGTGTGTGTGTGTGTGTGTGTGTAGAAGGCACACGCTGTGAAAACCATCACATTCTCAGTCTGTATGGGAGAGATGTCTCTGGAATGAAAACCCATCGGCCTCTGGAACTACAGAGAGAGAGATGGGGATTGTGCTGGATGTGTGGTCAGGTGAGCAAACACACACACACACAGCTGTGAGCTCAGTGTGAGGAGCTCAGTGTAATGTGTGTGTGTGTGTGTGTAGTCCTCAGCCGGCGGACACTGAAGGCACGATTCAGTTTGACGGAGAGGGTTACGCCGCCGTCAGCCGGCCCACCCGATGGAACCCAAACGTTTCCACGGTCATGTTCAAGTTTCTCACGTTCTCCATAGACGCGCTCATGATGTACTTCGCCACCAGAGACATGGTTACAGCCCGCCCACACCATATAAATGAGCCATTTTATAGCATTTGCATGCGTTCTGCTGGTTATATCTGTGCTCTGTCTGTCTGAGCAGAAGGACTTCATGAGTGCAGAGCTGAGCGATGGAAGGGTAAAAGTGAGTTATGATCTGGGCTCTGGCACCGGCTCCATCATCAGTGACAAACGCTATAATGACGGCAAATGGAAGTCGTTCACCATGTCCCGCATGAAGAAAGAAGGTACAGACATGAAAACAGAGCAGCTCACCTTCAGCAGTGTGCCGAGCCGGTCTGAAAAATTAACATCCGTCACTTACCCAGCCTCGTGCTGTTCCAAATGTGTTTCTTTCTTCTGTGGAACACAAATGGAGATGTTCACATTGGTCCCTTGCAAGCTTTCAGAGCAGTAGTCCATGTGACATGTGCAATGTATTTAAAATCTTCTGAAGTCATATGATGAGCGTGGCAAATAAGGTTCACCTGTCTGGGAAATCAGTGTGTGAATGTCTGACTATCTGTGATCACACTGTCTCTTTTACATTTGCTTAGCAAACATCGCCATAATGAACATCGACACTAATGAGGACGAGCAGTTGCGGATGGCATCTCCAGGTGGAGTGACAGGCCTCAACCTAAGGGAGGATGAGAGGATATATTTTGGCGGTGTACCCAAGACTGGAAACTACAGGTGTGCAGATGTGCATTCTGATGTTATTAGATGAGTTCCTCCTGTGTTTAATCTTACGTCTGCTTTATAAAACAGTTGCTGGATGAGTTTTTTTTTCACATGTTTCCTCAGGTCAGAGGTGGTTTTGAAGAGATTCTCTGGCTGTATGAAAGACATTGATGTTTCCAGAACGCCATACAATCTGCTGAGCAGCCCAGACTACACAGGAATGACCAAATGCTGCTCCATTGAGGTACAGCAACACAGCACCTTCCTGCCTTTGTTATTGTCTCTCTTCACTAAAGGCAACATTTGCTCAATTTAAGTATTTCTCCACAAGCAATATATATACTTCTGTCATGACAACTCTCGGAGGGATTGGCATGGTAATGTACATGATAATGTTAATGTATTTGGTATTGGTGGAATAGATCTGCTGCTGCTGCTGCAGCAGAGCAAGTACCGAGACTTGCTATTGCCAATACATCCACAACATGCTGCTGTGAGCATGTAAGAAATATTGCTGCTACAAATATAACATACATGAAATAACCCCCATATAGCATACATGAATCACCTCTTAGCAGATCTATACAGGTGGAGCTGGGGAAGGTGGAGGGTTTCTGAAGCAAGCTGCGACTGCTACGGCAAGCACTAGTCATTCGTATATTTGAATGTTGAGCAGCGAGCTCATTGGCTACCGATACAGGAGAGAACCAATCAGCTGTGCCATGTGATGATGATGTCATTAGGTCAGATTGAGTTAGACCTATCAGACTGCGCCATCTAGAGTTTCATGCCAGAACTATATATCAAAATATATATATATAAATCTTTCTCTTTTTAAAGGAAAATCAGAAGAGAATTAGCAAGGGGTGGTTGTTGCTGGTTACTGTGTGATGATTGAAATCGCGAAATGGCCTCAAACGATTAGTAAATACACTGCAAAACGTTGTTTTCTAATACACGCACAAATTGCATGTATTCTTCTGTCAGCGTCGTGCGCTCAAGGCGCTATCTGCTCGTTAGCCAGGGTTCAAAGTCCAAAGCGCCAGGAAAATCTGCGCTGAAACAGTGTTATTCGTCAACTGCTCAGTAACATTTTTATGCATTTTTAAAATAAAATAAGGAAAATAAGACAATAATAATGATAATAATAATTACAACAGCTCTATTAATACATTTATTATAACACTTACACAATGTTTTAAAAAAAAAATGTCTTCTGCTCAGCAAGGCTGCATTTATTAGTACAGTAAAAAATACATAACTGATTCAAGAAGGGGGTCTCAGAAATGGCCAAAAAAATTATATTTTACGAGCTTATTCATTGTAAGTTAAATTGTGCTTTGTTGGTATAGTGTCTGCTAGAATGTTAAAAATGTGCAGTGTTAAATAAATATTTTTAAATTGTTGTTTTGTAATTGATTTTTTTTTCTTTGAAAAGCTAGACAAAAAAGTAAAAAGCACATTTTGGCTATTTAATTCATGCAATGGTGAAAAAAAAAAAGGCAAAATATATGGGGAGAAAATGTGAAAAACCGTGTTTGGTATTCGGCCCAGTGTTTCATTTTGTTCGGCTTCGGCCAAGAATTTTCATTTCTGTGCATCACTATCCTACAGTAAATCAACATTGATCACTGTGTTAAATTCTGATGTTTAATATCATTTTATGAGAACAAATGGCTTTTCTACATTAGACCATTTTTGTCATTTAAATCTAGGGTTTAGTATTTTTCCATCAACTGAATAACACGACTGGCCTTTGTGTTCAGAAAGAAATGTTTTATGTCATGGGTTTCAGTTTTCAGGTTTTAGGGTTTCAGTTTCTCTCTTCACATTCAACAGTTGGTGCTTGTGTTTGTATAGTGCATTTCCCTCATGCTGGTAATTCAGTATTTTTTTTTTATTCTTGTTCTTTGTTAAATTTAAATGATTAGTTGTGGAGTGAGTGAAACTAAAATAAGTTCACAGTGTTAAGAATGTTTGTAAACATTTTATTTAATTTACTGGTAAATATGTGACGTATACGTGGACAAAACTGTTTGTTTGTTTGTTTCTCTCAACAATGCAATTTTGACCTGGTGCGACATTTAGGTGCAAAAATGTGGAACATAAAGCCATTTTCCAAAACAAAAAAAGGAAGGCATGATACAAAGGTTCCAGGACAGTGTCCATAGTTGCAGAAGCACCCATGAACAATCTGATGCCATCAGCTGATGAACCACAGGAGGATTTTGGGTGAAACTACAAACTAAACACTGACTTTCTCTCTCTGTCAGAACCTGCACACCGTGAGCTTCCCCAGGCCCGGGTACATGGAGCTGAAGCCTGTGTCGTTTGATGTGGGCTCAGAGATCTCTCTCTCCTTCAGCACGAAGAGTGAAAACGGCATCATCCTGTTCGGCAGAGGAGGACTGACCTCTATGACGCAGCTCACGCAGGGCCTGACGCCTGTCCACATCCCGCGCCGCTCGCGCAGACAGACCGGAGAGGTGCTCACACACACCACACTCTTATTCAGTCATGAGATTACTGAAATGTGTTTAACACTGATAAACCCTTTTACACAGATTGACATTTTAACTTTACAACAGTCCTGTACACAACAGTCCCATAGTCCCAGTACTCTTATTTATCAGTAAACAACGGAGGAAAATTCTTTATAAATCAAATCCGGATTTGGGGGGAGGCTTTGAACAGTTTCATGCAGCCAGACGTATTGTTTTTACATTCCACTTAGAGGCGGGTTTATCAAAAATCACAGCAGTAGACCAGCAGGGACAAACAAACAGCATCAAAGAAAATATACGAAATGTGTGTGGACTTTGTAAATGGAATTTTGGTCCTGAAGTACTGATTATTTCACAAAGTTTTCTTTGCCAATGAAGTGGAATAGATGGGAAATTGCAATATGTTGTTGCATTCCGAACAAATTATTTTCAGTCTTACAAGATTTTCTTAATTTCTATAGAAAAGTGGTTTTCTGGTGGGTCCTCCATTTGTAGAATTTTTTTTTTTTCACAGGAACAGAACTAACTGTCAGAAATGTGTCATGTCGAGTCATCCCGCATATAGGATCACTGATTATAATGGGTTCTGTTTGGATTTGTTGAATCGCGCCACTCGTGTCTGATGTAGAAATGTTGTTTTTGTAGTAGATTTAAAGTAGATTTGTCATCTGCATTATGTTTACCTGGTCTTTTCACAAACTTATCCATGCTTAGTGCAGAGCCATGCATCTTTCATTTAAATTTTTACACGACTCCGTGCAATACTCAATTCTGATTCGCCAATCGCACCATCTTGTGGTCTGTTATTACATGACAACAACCGCTACAACTGATAACAGACCACTTCAGTGGGTACTGCAAGACATCATAAGGTAATAAAATATGTCAAATTTATAATTTGTGTTCAATTATTTATTTATGTGGCAAGTAGCCGCATAATAAGCGGGATCATTTTGCAGTGGGGTCTTGCATCATGCAGAAGGGGTTTCTTTTGCAGAACAATCTGACTGTGCATTGTCCTTTAGCCTTGCCATGCCCCCCTTTTTATAACTCCATGCCCCCTATTTTGGGAACCGCTGCTTTAGGAAATCTGGTGCTAAAACAGCACAGACAGTACGTGCCAATGAGCCACACTATCAGCGGTCCGTTTCACACTGAATTCACTACACTGTGAAAGAGACAAATTTCAAGACCTTTAAATTAATTACATCAACTGCAAAAAAAAGTAAGATTAATCCCAATTAATTCTTAATTAAACGAAGCACACATAAAACACAATGTTCCTGTAGGTCAAGTCAAGTCACGTCTATTTATATAGTGCTTTATATAATACAGATTGTTTCAAAGCAGCCTCACAATAATAAACATGAAAATAAGGCAAGGCAATGCAATTTATTTATAAAGCACAATTAAAAGCAACAGTCGGTTGACCAATGTGTATTGACCCTTCGCAAAGAGCTTGACTTACAGGCGATCTAACCAATCATAACGCCAAATCCATCTGCCAGACAGGAGAGTACATTAACTTCGGTGGACTTAAACTTGAAAAATTGGGTGTATTGACATCTTTCCGTGGTTGAAATAAACTACGTTCTGATGTTCATTCATGTTTATATCGTGCTTTAAGTAAATATGAAAAGACGATCTGTTGGCGTGCCGCTTGAACTGAGGCGCTACAGCGATCTGTCACGACACATTAAAGAGCCACAAAACGGTATTTATTGTTTGAATTTTTAAATAAAAAAATTTGAAAGCTGAGACCTTGTTTCATACCAGAAGTAACCTGCTCTGTCTTGTATGTCGGCATGTTGTCAGTTTCCACTTTGCTCCGTGATTTTTACTGCATGGCGTGATGATTGACGTGAGAGTGGCATGGCTTGTCGGACTTAGCAACAGTAACTAAGGAGGGTGGGTTTTTGCGAAGGGTCATTTATAAACATACACACCACTATTAAACAACACATACATTGAGGGTCCAACAAATCTCTAAAACATCACTACACAACATAAAACATCAGGTTCCAACATATCTCAAAACAGGTACTGACAAAAAAAAAAGCCTGGAAGAAGAGATGACATTTTAAAAGAGATTTGAAAGACACCAGTGTGGAGGCAGTTCTAATGTTTGGAAGCAAATGCTCCAGAGCTTCAGGGCTAAATCTCAAAATCACAAAAAGACGAAAATGGCTTGACCGTTGCCAGTGTTCTTAATAGAAAAAAAGCTTGATCTAACAACCGAATTTATGTGTTTGTCAAATTTGAGTTAGCCATAAGTCAAAAGTGCACCTCAATTTTTATTTTTTATTTATTTATTTTGTTTACCATAGATTTACCATATATGGACAAAGGGCCTAAATCAGTATTAGGGAACCTGACACAATAGAGGCTCCAAAAAAAATAGTATTTGTTTAAATGCAAAAAAAAAAAAAATCAACCATGCAAAAAGCTAACCATGTTTTTTTTTTATAAAACCAATTGGGAGCATATATAGTGAAAACATAATGGGTCCCAGAATAGATCCTTGAGGAACCCCACACTTAAAAGGGGCCGAAGATGATGCAAATTCACCTAAAGTAATTGTAAAACTTTTATTAGTTAAATAGGACTTAAGTCAATTTAAAACAGTACCTTGAATCCCTACCAACTGTTCAAGCCGTGCAATAAGAATTAAAAATAGTATTTGTTTAAATGCAAAAAAAAAAAAAATCAACCATGCAAAAAGCTAACCATGTTTTTTTTTTATAAAACCAATTGGGAGCATATATAGTGAAAACATAATGGGTCCCAGAATAGATCCTTGAGGAACCCCACACTTAAAAGGGGCCGAAGATGATGCAAATTCACCTAAAGTAATTGTAAAACTTTTATTAGTTAAATAGGACTTAAGTCAATTTAAAACAGTACCTTGAATCCCTACCAACTGTTCAAGCCGTGCAATAAGAATTCTATGGCCTATAGTATCAAATGCTATTTATACCAGAATTGCAGCATCCCCAGAGTCTACAGTTAACAAGACATCAAGAACCTTTAAGAAATGCAGATTCTGTGGTATGATGCTCTCTAAACCCAGAGAGAAGTATTTTAAAAACTGAGTTCTTATGCAAAAAAAAATAAAGGCAGCTGAATGAGAACAGCTTTGTCTAGTACTTTTGAAAGAAATGGTAATTTTGAAACAGGTCTATAGTTCAAATAAACAAAATAACAGTGTTAATGTTGTAAATTTCATCAGTTATGACACAAATTCAATTTAAGCTGTAAAGCAGTTTTACAGAAAACAGTAGTGTTATTATTCAGATCAATTTAGTTCAGTGTTGATTCAGTTCACTTGAATAACTGTATCAATATTGCAAAGTCAGTGTCATTATTCAGCTCAATTCTGATTTAGTTCTCATCTGATAGTCTCAGTGCTGTCAAAAAATATTACTGAATATAAATTGTTTCTTAAACCCCACAAAACACAAAGCTCCTGTAGGTATGACTGAGCCTAAGTGTTAGCTTCATTGAGTAGTTTTGAGAAATCCAGCTTTCTTCCAGCTGATTGCAAACACAGACACACAGGAGACTGTGTGAGACGGTTCAATGCTATTCTTTTTGCCTTTTCACTTAGGAAGGTGATTATGGGTAATAGTGGAAATTCGGGGAGCCGCGGCCTTCAGTACGAGATCATAATGAATCCACGGGGTTACAGGGGTCTCATAGCCCATAAGAGAGATTTATTATCCAGGCAGGTTTGTAATTGCCTCTGCCCTTCAGCAAACAAAAGTTGATCTTTTTTTGTTACCAGGTGGACTAAAGGCTAGGGGCACGGTGATCATTTTAATTAAAATATGACTTTCTACATCTTTGTCAGTAACGTCTTCATCATCCTTCTCTCTCGCCAGCTCAGGGGCAGCACATCAATTATGTGGCGTATCCGTAGTAAGCAGTCGCCTCTCTCACCTCCCTGTGATACTCCGTTTGTAAAAATAGATTTACAAGCCACCGTTTTGATGGATCACGTCCAATTTGCGATAACCCTCCTGGGAGAGGGTGGTGGACCGCCACCTTTTGAAAATCATTATTGCTTGTAAATTAAGTGGGTGTCATTTTGCGGGAGTGCGGCTTCGGAGAGGCCAAGGGTTTTCTCCACCGCTCCTCATTCATTCCTCCAATTTACGGCGAGTCCAGGGTCACCTGCACTGCGTGCGCATTGCCATCGGCTCGGAGAGAGGATCCTGCTCTTGCATCGCTCTCGTCAATTCCAGTGCAGCGTGGAGAGCGTGAGTGTGTGCTCTCAGAGCCGTCTGTCTGATTACCTGCCCTCAGCTCACTCCCCCTGAATATATTACTGTGAGCCAATCTGAACCTCAGTATGTCTCAATGTACCATTCTTATCAAAAATACTTAGCTTTTTATCTTTAGACTACATTTTCATATATTATCAAGAAACGTGAACCATTTTATCTTAGCTTGCAAAGCTCACCATTAAAATGTTTGGGTGTTTTTGAGTGGTTTAGAGTGCTACACACAGTTGCTAATCTGTTGCCAGTGCATTGTCATGCGGTGTTTTTAGCACAGTCGGTTAACAAAGAATTTGTTAGGGCGTTGCTAGGTGATTGTTCATGTGTTCTGGCTGGTTGCTAAGGTGTTTCTATGTGGTTGCTGGGGTATTCTGAGTGGTTTGGGGTGTTACGCAGTTGCTACTTTGCTTGCCAGGGTGTTGTGGGTAGTTGTTAGTTTATTATTCTGCAGTGATATTACCACTGCATTGCTGGTTGTTTACGTGTTCTGGCTGGTTGCTAAGGCGTTTCTAGGTGGTTGCTGGGGTATTCTGAGTGATTTCTAGAGCATAACTATTGCTAAGGCTTACTATTACAGTTGCTAAGGTGTTCTGAGTGATTGCTAAAGTGTAGAGTTAGTAGAGTTTCACATTGGTTCTTGCTAGGGCATTTTAGGTTGCTAGGGTGTTCTGGAGGGTTGATAAGGTGTTCTTAGTGTTTTTAGTACATTGCTATGTAGTTTCTTGAGTGTTGTGAGTGGTTGCTAGGACGTTGCTAAGGTGTTCTGAGTGTTTTAAGCACAGTTGATTAACCTTTTTTTCATGGTGGCATGTTTGTTTTAGGGTGTTCTAGCTGGATTTTAGGGTGTTTCTATGTGGTTGCTATAGTGTTCTGAGTGTTTTTATTTATAATGTTGGTATGTAGTGAGTGGCTTGTTTTAGGGTATTGCTAGGTGGTTGCTAACTGGTGGTTGCTATTTATGGCATTGCTATGCGGTTGCTATACAATTGCAGTAGTGTTCTGAGTGTTTTTTGTCATGTTGATATTTAGTTAGTGGTTTGCTCTAGGTGGTTGCTTGGGTGTTGCTATGTGGTTGCTATAGTGTTCTGAGTGTTTTTTTTTTTATCATGTTGGTATGTAGTGGGTAGTCTGTTATAGGGTATTCTGGTGGTTGCATTGCTGACAGTACGACACATAAATTGAAGAATTATTGATATCTGGTGCACAAACCAGATGCCTGATTCATTGCACATGGAAGTTTATTAGTTTGAGTTGTGGGATTGTTTAGATCACTAACACTGTGTACAATAGTGACTAGTAACAAAAGTGATTAGTAATAGTCTAAGCCTCATCCCATCTGTCTGTGTGTCTGCAGCCCTTCCTGTCTGTGCAACTGAATAAAGGGGCTCTGGAGGTGCTGGTGTTCACGGGCAGCAGGAATCCACGCAGAGCTTTCAGAAAAGTGGATAAGGGAATACTGCATGATGGGAGAGAGCACTCACTGTGCATCCAGAGACTCCCGGGAGCGTAAGCCCACCCTCTCTCTCTCTCTCTCATCATGGTTCCCATGCAGGCCTCTTTGAAACTAATGGAGCATGTGTGTGTGTAGATCTTTCACTGTGCAGGTGGATGAAGAGCCACCCTTCCAGCAGCCATTACCCAACGATCATCCTCTGAGCATCCATCGGCTCTTCATTGGAGGCATCCCAACGGACATAGAAACAGGTGTACAGCGGCCCAACGTGCCTTTTGAGGGCTGCATCTGGAACCTTCTCATCAACACTGTGTATGTCCAAACTCATCATCCACCCATCATGACCTCACATCTCTTTTAAAAATACATCTTTTTTGGTGGAGTTAATGTTAAAGGTGCTGTATGTAATTATTTGACCATACTAAAGCATAAAAATACTATATAGGCATCATGCTAAGGTCACATACTTATTTCTCTGAAATACAATGCTACAGCCAGTTATTCTACTTTGAAATGTGCGTTCCATGTCAGAATGTCTGTTTTTGTTTTGGTCTATGTGACTCCGCCCACGGCCAATTCACCCAATTGTATTTTGACACCCCAGGTTGCCAGTTGGTGGAAAACACAGCGTGTTGCAGCCATGGAAGCAAACAAATGATTTGGGTCATAGATCACAGATTCTACTTGATCTAAAAAGCTTTAGCATCCATCAAAAAATCTCTATGACCAGAGCCATTAAAACATGAGAAGATATACTCATCAACTTACAGTCAGTATGTTTACATGGACAACAAAACTCCAATTTTAACACGATTAACACAATACTCTGATCAAGAATCTACCATGTAAACAGATTTTTGATTACCTTAATCCAGCTAAAGTCATACTCGAATAAATGAAAATTTAATTAAGACATTATTATTCCTATAATAATTGAAATTTAAATTGAATTAAGAAGTAATCCTATTTTAGTCGCATTATCGAAGTGCAGTATAGACATGTATGCACCTTAATCACACTATTACTGTCGTGTAGGACGCCGCATTTTGCAACAGGATACACACGGCAGTGGTCAACCGTTTGATGGCAAACAAAAGAGCATGGCTTCAACAACCCCGTCATCTGTTTGCACGTATAGCATGACAAATAATTAACTGCACTTGAAGCTTTCGTTAAAAATGCAACACCCAAAACTGCATATGGCATCATAACGAAGACAAACTCTGTTTATACATCTATATAATATTGTCTTGTTTAGAATAAGATAATTAATTAGATTACTGATATCCATGTAAACGTAGTCAGTGTAAGGCTCGTCTCCTTCCATTGTCAGTGGCACTCATTTCTGTTGCATGTCCTCAATCTGGCAACCTGAGTCTGAGGAGGGGGCGGGAGAAACAATATTTTGAATTTGGACTGCAATACCCATTTCAGCTGCCAGCTGTCAATATTACATACTGCACCTTTAAATGGCTTAATGCAAATTAATGCTTAATCGTTTAATAGTTTTGGTGAAAAATTAAAAAAAAAACTCCTAGATAAACTAATGAAGGTGACCTTTCTGTTGAGGAAAGTTAAGAGAAGAAACAATTCACCCAAAATGATACGTACTTGTGACTAGATATTTTGTCCATCCAGTGTTTTTTGTTGTTGAAACATTCTTTAAAATATCTTTGTGTTCCACAGAGGAAAGTAAGTCATGCAGGTTTGAATTTTAATTTTTGGATGAACTATAACTTTAAACCACATAATTCTACAGTCCCCTAAAAACTGCCCCATACATGTTGCCAAGTCTGTGGTTTTCCCGCAGAATGTGGTTACTTTTACACTGGAACGTGATTTAGATGGAGGGGATAATTGCAGAAAAATACAATTGGGCTAGTTTTGGACTTGTTTTGAATAGCAGTTGGGCTGGATTTGTGTCGCAGACCTGGCAACACTGTGCCCCATCAGTTGCTCAGGATTCAATGACATTAGGCTTTAAAGTGGAAGTGAAGCAGTCAGTCAAGTTTACATTATTTAGTAAATTGATTTCCACTTTAATTTAAAAAATATAACAGACACGATTATTGTAACCATTTTAAGGGAAAAAGGATATTTTGCTATAGCTTTTGGAGCAAGGGCGCCACCATCTTGGTTGGCCAGTACAGTAATATAAGCATTTATTTACTTTTTGAACACACAAATGTTATTTTAACACAGAAATGTTTTGGTTTTCACCACAATTTGGATGAATATTCAACATATAGGCTACATTATCTATATCAATATCACCTCATCACGAAGTTTTGATCCCAAACATTGTTTTCATAATGCGAGGCGCAATGTGATGTAAACAAACAACATTTCATACAGTATTGTTCATGCAGCATCTTATGTCAGACCTTTCAGACATATTTGCATTACACTGGCTCGTTCACCAGTAGTGGTATATAGCCCCCCTAAAAATGGCCTAGCGATGCCCATGTTACAGACTCTCTAAATGCACTTGTGCACACTTCAGGAATGCAGGAGGGTGCCCTGCTTTTAAGCCAGTGAGCACTATGTTGCGGCCCATGACGGCAAGAGCCCCCTCAACATCTGGCAACATGCAGGCTTCCGATGACAGCGACTCAGAGGTGGAGTTAACACCGTCACGCCGTGCCACAGCAGCTAAAGTCTGTCTACACTGCACGCGACAAAGCGACTGTTAAAAATAATTTGAACTTTGTGTCAGTGCGTCATAAATAGAACGAGGCATCAGTTTACTGTCAGGGATTTATCGTGTCGTGTCGCACCGTACCGTATCCAGTGTAGACAGTGTCACTGATTATAATGGGTTCTATATTATTTTGTCGCGCCGCTCGCGTCCGGTGTAGAGTTATTTATCTATTTTGGTAATTTGCAGGTCGTGTCAAAAAGTTGTTGGTCTAGATAAATAACTGTATTCTGAACGTTTGACTCATATACGATCATTTTCTTCCAAATGCGATCATTTTGAGCTTCTGGTACGATACTTGGACATTTCCAATCTGGCAACACTGACACACACTGTGAAAAGCGCTCGGCTCGGACTGCACGCGAGTGCCAGATTGAGTCCTCTTTCTAGTCTGCTTGAGCAAATGCACAGAAAATGATGTTCATGGCTGTTTTGATGAGTATCCATGTAAACGTGATTTGTTTCAGACCCACTCTTCACCCCAAACCAGAGCAACTTCACGACTTCTTCCACCCGTAACTAGGGTTGGGTACCGAAACCCGGTACCAATATGGCACCGGTACCTATGTAACCGGTATATACTAGAACCGAATCGAATAGAGAGTGCTAGAGTTAGAGGGTCAAATAAAGATGGAAGAGATGTGTTTTTAGTCGTTTCTTGAAGATGGCTAATAGTCCAGGTTAGGGTTGGGTACCGAAACCCGGTACCAATATGGCACCGGTACCTATGTAACCGGTATGTACTAGAACACAATCCGAGCGCAGATTTCGGTGCCATGCCTGAGCGATCGATTGAAATATTTGTCCTCAGGTTCTCCGAAACGGCCATAAGAAGCATCATCACCAGCATCGCACGTGAAAAATAATTTCCCGACTGAGAACATGCACGTGAACTCAAGTCGGAAAACTCTAATAATACAAATCCAACAAACCTTTGGAGTAACGCGAGTGTCCATGTTGTTTTCACATTCCGACTTAAAAGCACAACTCGGGAAATGAGAGCATCGAGGAGCGCGTGAATGCAGTAATTACACTTGCTCTGATGGCAGCAGGTAGCCTTCCGTTAACTAAGCTAAACATGCTTAAATTAAAATGCCTAAAGCTAAACCTCCCTTGTATTCACATTTCTAAACCTGTTGTCCAACAAAAGAGAACATTATAACCTTTTTACTCCACAACACCAGTCAAATGCTTCCTTTTGTGATCTGATGAGGCTTCTTGTCACAGAATGAGGCAGAAAATATGTTCCATAGGCTACTTTAAAAAGAATACATCGTTTAGCAATGGATTATAAATATACCGTATTGACCCGAATATAAGACGATGTTTTTTTCTTGGAAATACATCTGAAAAAACGCGGTCGTCTT